AGGTGTCACCCCGGCGCGGGTCCGGCAGCGCCGAGCGGCGGAGGGGCGGGAGGGAGCTTGGGCCGAGCTGAGGGGGCTGGGGGTGCCCCCGGGGCGGCGCGGCAGGGAGAGAGCCTCGGCGTGCCCTTTCGGTCCCGAAGTTGCCAGGCTGTTAAAAAACTCGCTGTTGAAGGGACTCGTTTTCTGGTGTCGCTCTCTGCTGAGCTCCCGTAGCGTATCGCGCAGTTCGAGTAACAGGTTGTAGCTCGGCATCTTGGCTGTTGAAGAAATACTTTCCTTATGCCTAACGGCAAAGCTGTCGGCTTTTGAGACGTGGAACCCGTCCACACTTTAGTGCTGGAGCATTACCTCCGTTTTTGAAATCTAAAAACCCCGATTCACTTATGACTTGAGTTTTCAGCTGTGTTTTACATCTCAGCAGCGCAAAGCACAGAAGGGTTCTAGAAACAACGTCAAGCACGAGGAATTTCGGGACAAATCCTCCACCCTGGCTGTATAGTTAGCTGCTTTTGCATTTTCTGATAGCGGGAAGGTAGATAAAGTACCTGGCTCTGATGGTTCTTGGCTCATTCCTTCTGCCATGCTGTTTTACTGTAGTTATTCCAGTAGAGCTGTGTGTGAAGCCTCCCCATCACCTGGAAAAATGGAAAACAACTGTTACTCTAGAAATTTTCTCTCCTTGGAGTAATTGTCATCCTGGGCAGTGTCTTGCGCTGGTTCTTGATGACACACCCGAGCGAGAGGCGTGGGAACAGGAGAAGGAAGAGAGACTGCTTTGAGTTCGGGTGCTGAAAGAGTTATTTGTTAGACCATTGTTAGAGCCACCACAAGGCCTGACCACGTCCCAGCCAACCTCAGCTGAGACTGAAAGGGCTTCATTCATGTTCTCCACTTGCTCACAAGTTGACTGTTGAGCACAGCTTGCATTCTTATTGGGGCTCCTGCCCAGAGAGCTCTATTTCACACATACTCTCTTTAAGGCCTGTATGAATCCTTTGCAGCTGCAGTATAACGTAGTGTGATGCATTAACTTTATATAAGCTTTCTCTCTTCATCCATGTTATGCATATAATATATAGTGAGGTGGAGAGTCAATACTTCGCTGGCTGGGTCTCCTGGGAAGCTGGAAAAAGGTCGAGGAAAAAAACAAACCTAAGAGCCAAAGTATGAGAATTGATACAAAAAGATTTTGCTACTTAATGTTTGTTTGAAGAGTGTGGAGAGATGCAGCAGAAAATCAAAATCAGCAAAAGTGAGTGAGAGTGGGCTTGAGGGTCCACTAAACAGACAGATTTGCCAGTGGAAGAGAGGGAAGCATACATGGAAAACTTCACAGAGAATACCATAAAACCAGACGTGTAACATAGCTCTGTAATGGAGGAGGGTGATTTTGTATGAGGTTTATAAATGTAAATTATGTAGATGATGTAAAAGGAATGATGTAAAATATATTGACATCAAATAATATTTCCTTGCTTAACACATGTTGTATAATTACTAAAGTGTTTCCTACTGCGTTTTGGGAGAGACTTTATTTTGAGCTGCTTTGCAAAAAAAATGTAAAATCACTCTCAGAATGCAGTCTGACCTATGAATCTGTTTACAGTCAGACTGCACAAAGTATTTTTGAAAATTTGACTTCCGGAGAAGTTTTGGCAGCCATTGCCCCCATACAACAGCATAGAGTACTCATCACTGATTAATTAGAAAGGAGGGGGAAAAAAAAAATCCTTGTTACAGTCAAAGAGGCCTTCTGATAGCAACCACCACTGTTGCATGTAAGACCAGCATTCCTTTCTCATTTGCACAAGGAACATCAACAACAAGGGGCTGAAGTGGTCAAGGGTGAAGGAGACTGACTCACTGCTCTTCAGGAAACAAGAGTGCTAAAGCTGCAACAGGCACAGCTGAGCCGGCACAGCCAAAGAGGCGCAGATCTTCCAAAAGTGACTGAAGTTGTGATACCAGACTGAGTATTTTTCTGCGTCAGGGTCATTTCAGAGGGCTACACCAGATTTCTGTTTCTTTGTTTTTCCTTCCTTGAAATCACACAGGTCAAGAGAGTCCTTTCTGTGCGAACCACAAACCTGAACACTTTCTTCTGTGTAACAGTAGCCGATCAGTCCCATCTGAACCAGCGCTGCATTATCATCCTTTGCCTGGCACATAGAGTACTCACTGTGAGGGTTTCTTTTCTATCATCAGGTCTTGATTCCTCACCTGCTGCCTCTTGCTGTATCTGTCCATAGGCAACAATGGAGGAACAGGTACTACCTGTGCTAGATTTTCCAGTTACTTAAATTCCTGCTGGTAAAGAGTGGCCTTAGTGGCATTTACAGACTATTACACTGCTGTCTGTGAAATCACCTCCTCACAACTGGAACATTAGCAGAGTGTTTCTGCTTGTTTGTTTATTCCTAAACACCTGAAAATACAGTCCAGAAGTTGTCTTCATTAGCAACCTGCACATTGTGCCCACTGTTCTCTACTGACAAGGCTGCCAATTTTTCCTCTGCCCATCCTGGGTGATTTTGGGGCATTCAGGAAGATCCTCTCCTGCCTCAGATTTCTTCTGAGAAACACAGGGCAAAAAATGTCACCTTTTTTTTTTTTTTTTTTTAAGGTTCTTTCTAATGTCTCTCCATATATACAAGTATGAAGGAAATCTTGTCATGACCTATGGTTTAAGGCAACTTCAACTGTATGGTGAGTTGAAGTGGTCTAGAAAAGGAAAAATAGTTGGTGCACCAGAATGCCATGTAAGGTCATTTAAAAGACATGAGGAAAGAATCCTGGGCTTCTGATGTTTGGATCGATCCCTAAAAGTTGTCTACTCTCAGACAGAATAAATTACCTGATAACTGTGTGTGAAATTGTCAAAGGAGTTTTCACTGAATCATCTTTTGGCTGATACTTTTTTTCCTGCACACCTTTCTGGGGGAATATTTTGTTGCATATTTTGATTCCTGTGTGTTGCTTTTTATTTTATAGAATAGACTGATTTAATAATTCCATGTAATTTTTAATGTATTTCCCTTCTTACTGTGCATCTTCATGAACTTTTCTTTGTACTTTTCCTGCCTCATCCACCTATATTTTTTGTTCTCTTTTGTGTTATTTTGCCAAGGTTTCCTTTCTGTTCCCTCTACTCATCCCATCTGTTCTCTGTCTCTCTCTCATGGATGTATGGGCATCAGGAGATGTCAGTGGTACACATGCCTACACCACCCATCTACATTTTGGATTTTGAGTACCCACAAATAGGAAGTATTTTTTTACTCGCATCCAAAATATGTTTAGTTTCCTACTTACCTCATGTGTTAGGAGGCAATAGCAACATTGATATTTACTGGATTAAATGTAACTTTAGCTATTAGGACAGTAATTGACTGTAAGAGAGTAATGCAGTTTGTTATTGGAAGATTAAAATAGATTTTCTGGTTTAATGACCGTCCACACCTGTTTATGATCATGGAAAATTTAGGTCTCTGAAAGAGTCACATTTGGAGCACCCGTGGGCACGTTAACGTGTCGTCCACCCTCATGGCTGATGCCCAGGCATCCTTCTCAGGGCCTCTGCACAGCCTGTGCAGCTGCCTGGGCCTGGCAGGACCCTCGCCTCTTGCCTAAGCACACGAACATTGATTACTTTTTTTCTTCCAGCTTTGGAGGGCAAATTTTAGTCATCTCTACAAGCCAAGTAGTAAGCTAGTTCCTTGCCCGGACTGCAGGTCTGGCTCTGCAGGAAGCTTACACAGAGAGATGTGTGTGGTGTGAGACCCAGCTTTTGTCATGGAATGGCCCAGTGTTGTGCAATTTTAGTCTGAAACAGGTAGCAAATTTCAAAGATGATAATTTTTTTTGTTTAAAGAAAAAAAAAATTAAGCGTTATTTTTGTCTTGGGCAATGATTTTTCTTTGCACACTGTTTTTCATGGGCAAGATACTTTATATAAACCAATATGCTTGATTAACTGAATTTGCAGAAATCCAGATGCAGTTCTGTGAAAGCTATGCCACCAACCATTTAAAAAAGAAGGGAGGGAAGGAGTGAGATGTGATTTGGACCAGATCAAGTGTTCTATATTGTATGCTATTTTGATGAGAGTATGACTTCTGAGAAAGCAGTGAGCAACAGGAAGTATTTATGGGAGTATTCCAGGTCTCATAGCATTCAGATTACATGCTCTGAGTTATTCACTGAATAAAGTTGTATGAGATGCCGTCTTCAAGCATAATTTAACTGCTCCATCTAACGGATGGTAGTTTGAAAAGACTGGCTGATCTGGTGACTTAATTGCTTTCAGCTTGACTTATGTTCCTTAATTTTTGAGTTGTCATCTTTTTTCTAAACTGGTGATATGGTAGTAACTTTTTTTCAATTGGATGATGTATTATTTCTTTGAGAAGTAGTAAGAATCACGGAGTCAGTTTTGTGGATTTAATTTCTCTGTGTATTTGTTAGACCATAGTAGAGTGAAGGTGTATGAGGTGCTGGTATTGCACACGAGTCACGTGATGCCCCTGGAAAATTTCAGAAGGAAAAACATAGCCTAATACTTTTCTTTTAAGAGAATGTTCCAAGTAATGTTAGATGGAGCAGGTTCACAAAGTGATCTTGCGTGAGGAAGGTGGAGGGACGTGAGTCTCCAAATGAGAACAGTAGCTCTCAGTCCTGTAATGTTTGTTGCATGGAGAACAGAGGTATAAACAAGCAAGAATGTCATCTTCTACATCAGTGTGACTGAGACTGTCTCAAGTTGAGCTGCGCAATATTTCTTGAAAGTTTTGTATTCTAAATTAAGAGCTTTTATTGTAGCATTTTTGGTGAAGTTGATTCCTGAAGACTCCATTGTGTCTTGGGACAACTGTATGAACAGTTTAATAGCAATTAAAATCCCTAAAAAAAAAAAAAGTAGATGTATTTTTAAATATCTCAGAGGCCTCTTTTGGCCTCTAGCTTTTAATATTTTTCAATTAATGTAGTGTTGGGGTTTTTGTTTGTGTATGTGTGTGCACTGCCAGAAATCTCCTCATTACTTACACTGTGATCAAGTAAACTCTGGCCATTTTCTTGAAAGAACTTACATAGGCTATGTTTCTGTACTGTTTCTCTGTAAAAAATGTGTTTTGAGACCCATGAATTATCATCCTTCAGTTTGCCAATCTTCTCTTGAAAAGAAGAACCGTAGGACAAGACATTAAAACATGTTCTGATGCATAATATATATAGTATTATTTCTGCTTGAAATTCTTGTTCTCCCCTGTGCTGTATGTTCCCTTGCTGACATTTTCATTGTTGGGTCACACTCAGCTGCTGAATGTATGAGGTTTTGGGGGATGGTGGTTAGGTTTTTTTTTGGTTTACTGTGTCATTACCTCTGACAAAAAGAACTAGAAAGAGTGATCTTGTGGTTAAGGTGCTAAATGACACATGGGGTGAATGAGATTCGTGTTCTTGCTCTCTTAGTCTTTCCCTTTATTAACTAGTATTTTTGTGTCATCTTCACATGCACAAAGTGAAGATGACATGTTTCTTCCCCTTCCCG